ACACACGCCAACTCGACTTTCGGGTTATTTTTGGTGTTAACATCCTAAAAGTTGACCCCCAAGTCCGGGTCTTACTATACGCCCCCTTTGTCGGCAGAATGTTCGCCGCGCTTCGCCACATGAAGCTCCACGACCTAAAGAAGAAAACGAAACCACTCACGCGAGGAAGTGAAGGATCGCAAGCTCGATGTGAAAGCTGGCAGGGTTATGTCGAAATGGCTCAACTTAGAGCCAGATTGGCTTTATATTGCTCAGTGACAAAACCCCAAGAACTCCAAGGAAGAGTTGAGCAAGGACATGTCCATCGACAATGACAAAGGGTCGTATTGGTCGCTGTTAGGTCTCTACAAGAATATAGATGTGCTGCGTTGGTTTCGCGAAGACGGTGAGAACTGATTTCCCTCCATTGCGCTGCTGGCACCTATACACCTGGGCAAAGTCTCGTCATCGGCCTTCAGGAGAGAGTTTTCTCGTCTGCATTGTGGTGGGGCCTCTTCGGGCCAGGACTGATCACAGGAGAGCGGAGAAGTAGCTCCTGCTTTGACACAATCGATAGGAGACCGTGCAGATGAAACAAGATGCCAGAAAGGCGAATACTACTCTGTCCAGAAAAAGTTGCACGAAAGTGCTTTTCCTAATTTATATTCGCCAAAACAGTGCAAACGTGTTTGTAATTGGTAGAAATGAATTGTGCGTCCGCTGTGCTTCTCAATGGTGTGCTGGGCTCGCCACAGTCCGCAGAATTGGCTCTGAACCAGTCAAATTTGTGGTGATTGAGGGGCAACTCCGCCCGTGTGAGGGATGCACATTTAAGATTTCGCCCACCCTTACCTAATCTTCCTAATGCCCGCCTCCAAGACCAAGGAACTAAGCGAAGAAGACCGCAGGAACAGCACCTAACTCGAGACTTTGATGAGCTCATTGCAGTCGTCGAAGCTGCATATTGGGAGCTACCACCGTCTACTATCAATGCCGCATTTCTAAGTTTGCAAACGACAATGAATAAGTGCATCGAGGAGAAAGGTGGGAGCGTCTTTAAACCTGTTCACATGGGGAAAGCTCACCTGGCGAAGGAGGGAAGACTCCCCCTCAGCATCCGATGCTCGAGTACGGCTGCTGAGGTCCTGTCTCTATCGTAGGGATTTGAATGTTTAATGAAATCAAGTAATTTGGTGGTGTAAAGCCGATCCGTGCAACTTTTTCCGGACAGAGTAGTAAACAGGAGGAGGCTTAAACAGTACTATTGTGCAAAGATCGGTATCTATATCAGTATGACCCTACGCAGTAGCTCCGGTACTATTACTACCGTGTTTTTTGCAGTACTATTAACCTCTGTTCTTTAGTTGCTTCCTCGCCGAGAATGGTGCTGCGCTGGGAGCCGCTGCGGCCTGCAGGCCCTGCCGTCAAGAACCACACAGCCACGGCCGTATCTGCTCATGAATTGCTGATGTTTGGCGGCTACGACGGCCGTCGCAATCACAACACCTTGCACCTGTTGGACGTGACTCGACGGACATGGCGCGAGCTGTCACACGAGACGCGCGGCAGACCGCCGGCTGGCCGCAATGGACACACGGCGACGCTGGCTGAGAGAAAGCTGTTTATCCTTGGTGGCTGGCTGGGCAGTGGTCCATTGGCGGCGGCCGACCTGCACGTGCTGCACTTGGACACGCTCACCTGGGAACAGCCCGAGTTGACTGCTGCACTCGGCCCGTGCAATATGCATACAGCTGACTACGTTGCCCGCCTGCGCAGCATCCTGGTCTTTCGAGGCGGTGATGGCCGCGAATACCTCAACGACCTCCACGCACTACAGATCGACTCCATGACGTGGACCACCGTACGCACTCGCGGCCGCGCGCCGGCTCCACGGGCCAACCACAGCTCAGCGCTGGTCGGTGACGACCTGCTCGTCTTCGGGGGTTGGGACGGTCGACAGAGACTTAACGATATCCACGTGCTGGACACACGGAGCATGACGTGGTCGGGCGTGGCCGACGAGTTCAGGGTCGATACAAGGCACTACGTGACCCCGCCGCTGCCTCGAGCTGGTATGACCATGGCCCGCCACCGAGATCGACTATTCATCTTCGGAGGCTCTGGCCCGTCGGCTAAATGCTACGACGACCTCCATGTGTACGACCCGAGTAGACATCAGTGGGTGGAGACTGTGGCTGTAGTCACGGCCGAGAACCCAGACGAGCTGAAACGGAGACAGAGCTTTCGATCCAGTCGTAGTCGCACACGGTCGCAGCCGCGATGGGATATTTACGAGGACGAGGATCAGCAAGATGGCAGTTGGTCTGGAAACGACGCAGAGGAGTTTGATGAAGATCTAGATAGTGACGAGGAGTTTGAAGATGCCCATAGCGATCGAGAGGCTATGATGGTGGCACAAGGGCTGGTCAATGACTCCTGCGACTCGGCCAACCCAAACGAAATGTGTGAATTCTCAGATGCGGAGATACCAAAGCGGGAAGAACCCCTGTTAGTAGTAGGAAGGGGCCCTGGACGGCGAGCTGGACACACGTGCACTGTGGTGGATCGCATGCTCGTGATATTTGGAGGCTCCTGCGGTGCTGACTACCTTAATGACTGCTTCACATTAGACACAGACCCACCTCCGCGAGCTTCTGTATCTCTTCCATCGCCAGCAAGAATGCTACGCCATGCGCTCGCTCAATATGTTAACTGCGAGGAGTTCGCCGATATTTCCTTCGTAAGTTATCTTTTCACTTTGAATCTTGACGAAGTGTGACTTAGTCGTGTATTGTTTGAACAGCTTGTCGAAGGGCGCGTAGTATATGCACACAAACTGGTCCTGTCAGCACTGAGCGAGCGATTCCGAGGAATGTTTTCTTCTGGTTTCCGCGAAGCTCGAGAAACTCAAATTGTGATTCCAGACGTGCGCTATGATGTTTTCTTGTTGCTACTCGAGTATCTCTACACCGGTCACATCGAAACACACGATGATGCATTTGCTATGCGCTCGAGCGCTCAAGAAGCTGATCAAGAGCTGGACTTCGTGAGCAACAGCATAGCAGCATGTCCACAGTCTGCAGACGGACTCAACGAGATCGAAGAAGCTCGTCGCAGAGAAACGGAACAAGCTCAGGCTCTGGATTTGAGGTTGGAAATGGAACTCGAGTCTTTATTGGAGCTGCTCGTGGCTGCCGATCAATTCATGCTGGACCACCTAAAACAACGCTGTGAGCGGACACTGCAGTACGCAGTGCGCGTCGGAAGTGTCGAGGCCATTGCAGAAGCAGCTGACCGTGCCAATGCTGTCCAGTTGCAGGCAGTATGTCGACACTTCCTACGCAACCACTCGATAGCCCTATCGTCTTCCGTACACTCGAACGAACGCTGTTCATTCGACGGAGAAGACGAGGATGAGGAGGATCTGGACGAAATGAAAGCTCAAGCTCCTCACGATGGAGATGTGGACGAATCCACGTCACGACTGAGTCGCGCCGCGTTGTTATGAGACGGTCATTGTGCTGCTGGCGCGCTTGGTTGGTCGCTGAACACTAGTTAAACTTATTTTGCAAAATGCCACTTTGATTATGGTGTCTCTAGCTATTGACAAACATTTACACACATACTTATTAGCCAAAACTGCACGCACTTGGGACTCGTTAATGATAGTAGCGTGACTGCCCATGGGCACGCGAGCCATTGGAATATCCTGATGATCCTGAAGGTGTCGACGCGTACTGATGTGACGAGTGTCCGGACGAATACACAGGCGTGGGTGCATACCGGTCAGATGAGTATCCCGACGAGTACCCGGACGAGTATCCTGACCCTGGATCTCTTGATGGCTCGAATCCTGCACCAGAAGCTATGAATCTGCCGCCGTCGTTGTGATGCCGGTGTTGTCGCACATCGTACGTCAAGAAGACCGGGGTCTGGTCGTTGCTACTTGAACCAGCCATCTGCTGCTCCATCTCATAGTTCTGTTGCGACTGAATAAAGCTCTCACGATGAGTGTAGCCCGACCAGCGCTTCAGCACCAACACGAACATAGCGACATAACGAGCGAAGAACAGGAAGAACACGATGGCGTTGAAAATCACGAAACCTTGCGCCACGATACCGCGCCAATGTGTGCTCAACTCACTCGACGTGAGGAATGCAAAACTGCACAACAAGTTCGCGATCGCTACGACACGGAGACCCACCACCACGCCAAGCACCCAGCGAGCTGCAAAAGGGCGGACGATAAGCGCCACAACAACGAAAAGTAAGTGTGTCACCATCAGAGCCACTAGCTGCGTTGGTATACCCGACACTGCGCCAGTGACAATACCGAGAAGAGCCTGGAAACCCACCGTCACGACGAAGAAGTAGCGGAACGCCATCTTCGAGTCGCCGTACAGCGATCCCCACACAGCAAAGTGCTTGAAGCGAAACGCGTCGTTGTTCGGGATGGCTCGCACACTCACGAACGCATAACAAAGTCCTCCGACCACAACAGCCCACAAGGCGAACAGAGCCACAGCAAGACCGATACCGACTCGGTATCGCAACTCCATCACCAGTTCGTACGAAGACATGGACACAAGCGGGAACACACTGAGCATCCATAACGCCACGCCAAGACCCACAATACACATGGCAAAACTGTTGCGCAGGCCTGTCGGGTAGAACGCTGACCACTCATCGGCCGTCATTCTGTGGCGGTAGAACGCAAAACCAGCAGTCAAAGCGAAGAGTACAAGCACAATGGCTACGAGCGCCATGAAGAAATAGAAAGCGGTCATCAGAGCCTCGTCTTCTTCGATGCCAATACGGTCGGCGAACGCGACGATGCCCGTCAAGATGATCAGCTGCAATCTCCTCGAAGCTTCAGAGGCGGCAGTTGTCGTCACTGATGAGATGTGCATGTTCGCAAACGAGAACGAGTCCGTGAAATCCAAGACGATCTGAGGTGCCTTCGTTAGGTCCAACATCGAGATAGAGTTGACGTGTTGGATGTAGCCCACCACAACAGCAAGCTCCCACACGTTCGGCGTAAACCACCCCATGCCGCCACGACCGCTTCCTCCATCCTGGCCGTTGTCGGAAGATCCACCCAGCCACGGTGGTCGCTGGAGAGCTAACACGTGAAAGAACATCAACAGCACCGTGGAGACAATACCGAGCGCGTAACTCGCGTAGAGCAGCGCGTTCTGGATCTCCTGGGACGTCTTAGACATCGAAATGGAAGCACCAGGCGGCAGGTTCGCACGGTTGCCACCTCCAACGACGATGTTACTGTATGATCCACTGGCGTCTTCAAGAGCTTGTAGATCACCATCTCCACGGTTGTACTTCTCAAATGTCGTAATCTTACTCCCATCCGTGTACACGATCGTAGAGCCCGTATCGCCCAACAGAACCAAGTTGTTGCCGTTGATCGTGTACTTGTCGCCTTCATCGCTGCTGCCTGAGTCCGTCTGCTTCGTAACAGCCTCCGCCGCCGAGTTGTCGATGTCGGAAGTATCAGCAGGGATCACCGTTCCAATCGAGTCCGATGACGCTGCAGATGGAGGCATTGTCACGGTCATTGACGACGGATTCCTAGTTATAGGGGCCGGACTAGGCGTCGATGTATCAGACGAGGAATAGTCCGATGTCTGCTCGGTTTGCTCAGTTTGCGAAACATCGTTACCATCGTCAGAAGTTTCTGTCGAGTCCGTTGTCACTGTAGGAGCTCTGGTCACCGGAGCTGGACTCGGTGTACTCTCAGAGTTCTCATCAATCGAGCCTGAAGACGCTGAGGAGGGGACATCTGTGCCAGATTCAGCCGAGTCCGACGATCCTGACGAAGCGGTAGCACCCGAGTTTGATGTGTCTGAGCCTGAAGTCGGCTGAGCCGTAGTCGACGGAGCAGTGGTTGTCTTCGGTGGATTCGTCACCGGAGCAGGACTCCATGTGACTGGAGGAGGACTTGATGGCGTTTCCGATGACCCTGACGAACTCTCCGATACAAAAGTCGTCGCCGCCGGTCCTGAGGATGACGACACGTCAGAGCTTTCCTTCGATTTGGACGATCCCGACGGAGGCGCTGTGGTTGTCGGAGCCTGTGTCTGTGGCGTACTTGTCACGGGTGGGGGGCTGGCCGTCACATTCTCGTCCGTGTTAGAGGACTCAGTCGATTTAGAGGAGTGAGACGTGCTCGGCGTATCGGAAGACCCTGTAGCTGACGAAGTGCTATCAGACCCCGACGATTCGGACGGTGATGGACTCGTCGTCGTGGGGTTACTTGGGATTGGAGGAGGGCTCCATGGCGTTGGCTCTGGGGTTGGAGCTGACGTAGTTGGCGTTGGGGTCGATGTCCTTGGTACTGGCGTTGCAGTGGTCGGTACAGGCACCAACGACTCGTCGGATGAACCGGATGCCGATACCGACGCAGGGGCATCCGTCATTGGAGGTTCCGTTTGAGGTGTCGATGACGGAGGAGCCTCCGTAGGGATTTCAGTTGGCCTTGAGACTTCAGTAGGCTTCGGGGTTTCCGTCGGTGTTGGAGCATTCGTCGGCGGTTCAGTCGCACCAGTGCTCGAACCAGAAAACGACGTCGTAGGAGCGTCCGTAGGAGCTTGTGTTGTAGGAGCTTCCGTCGGAGCTTGTGTTGTAGGAGCTTCCGTCGGAGCTTGTGTTGTAGGAGCTTCCGTCGGAGCTTGTGTTGTAGGAGTCAATGGCGTCGGAACTTCTGTCGGAGGAGACCACGTTGTAGGAGCTTCAGTAGGAACCTGTGTTGGAGCATTCACATTCGACCCAGACACTGACGTGTCAACAGACGCTGCTGGAGCTTCAGTCGGTGTTGGAGCATTCGTCGGCGGTTCAGTCGTACCAGTGTTCGAACCAGCAAACGATGTCGTTGGAGGGTCCGTTGGGTCTTCCGTTGGAGGAGTCCACGTTGCAGGAGCTTCAGTAGGAACCTCTGGTGGGACGTTCGCATTCGATCCAGCAACAGACGTGTCCACTGATGATGCTGGGGCTTCAGTCGGCATCGGATGATTTGTCGGTGCATTAGTCCAGACTGGCGCATCGGTGCTCGAACCGGAAGTTGACATTGTCGCAGGAGCTTCGGTAGGGGCTTCAGTCCATACAGGCGCATTCACATTCGAACCTGACATCGAAGTGTCCATGGAACTGGCCGGAGCATCGGTCGGCGCCGGAGCACTTGTAGGAGCATCAGTATTCCATGTAGAAGATGAACCAGTAGAAGGTATCTCCGTAGGGGGCTCCGTCCAGAGGGATTCAGGAGAACCAGAACCGGAATTCGATGCCACAGGTACCTCAGTTGG